GGGCAGAGGGCTGCAGGGGAAGGGGCCTGGGGTCTCTCACCCTGCAGCTGCTCTGGCCAGCCAGCAGTGTACCACTGCTTGGTTGAGGGAGCTGCAGGGGTAGGGCTCTGGGGTCCCTCTGCCTGGAGCCCCCCCACCCAAGCAGTAGTGTGCCAGTGATTGGCTGGGGGGTATGGGAGAGGGGACCCAGGGTCTCTCCCTGCAGCTGCTGCTGCCAGATTGCCAGCTGGTGGGGGGAGGGTGGGGAGGGCTGGGGAGAGGGACCCCTCTGGCAGCCTTCTGGGAGGCCTGTGAAAGTACCCCTAGCATCCAATGCAAGCAGGCTTCAAACACCCCCCCCCCCCACTGAACAGCAAACATCTGTTCAGTTCACTCTTGCTCAAATTTATAGCACTCTCAGAAAGCCCCTGGTGGAAGTGCTATAATTATTGTGCTTTATTTAATGTCTATACTTAAGCAATGACACCTTTTTTCCTCTTAATCTTCTAGTCACGGCTGCTTGGCCTCCAAGGTTCCATGGCAGCCTGTTTGATGGACTTCTGAGGCCCTGAAAAGATAACTACTGGGCTATCAGAAAGACAGGTTTCTTTTGAAAATTTTCAAAGGATTGTATTTGCAAGCTTGTCTATCACAACTATGCAGTTGGTCCACTATACAGCTGGATCATCACAGCTACATCTCTTATACTACTATCAGACTAAAAGCACTCTGAAACTTTGCCCTGCAGAAGCTATATTTCCCTATGGGGAAAAAAAAAAAAAACAACAACTCATTCCACTTGAAAATATCTGTATAGCCCTAGTATCAAGCAAAAGTACTTAAGCAGATTTAAAAAATAAAGATAATTATCTCTCTCAGGCCACCTCTTTCAGAAGCCTTGTCATTTTTACCCACTGCTATGTTCTAAGACAGTAAAAAGATTCAAAAAAGACCCAATAAGGGTTAAGTTCACTTCTCTCAGTTGCACACCATTTTGAACCATGTGACTTCCACAGAGTTTAGCTAAAGCCACACACAATATTTTGAAAATGTATCGCAAAATGTTGAAATGTAAAAGAACGTCTTAATACAAAATATTTTTCACAGTTCTAATGAGAGCTTGGGAAACAGGCAGAGAGAATCAGGAGTCAACAAGCTGATAAGTGATAACAAGGTCACAAAAATCCTTGCTTGATTGCAAAACTGATTATCTGCAGGAAATTTAAGGTAGATTTTCTAGACTAATAGCCTTTAATTATATACAAAACTATTTTTGTGATATTTGGAAATATCTCTATAAAGACTCTGTTAATACTACACTATTTAGTTATAGCACATTTGGTTATGACTGGTTCCAAGACATAAGTGTCTCCCTAACAATGTTCTGTTGGTGGAAAATTATTCTCTTTAACCTCTAATACATTTTCAAATATTCCACAAGATATTTCCTTACAAACTTCTCTGTAAATGGTTTGCCTATTGGGAATTTGCTAGCCTGTGGAAAAATTGCAATACTACCTTATACTTCCAAAAACCTCTGGTCATAGTGAAGGTCCTATAAAAGCAGGGAACATTCAGCTCCTTACTTTTTGATTGCAGTTAAACTATATTACAAGTAAAAGAACAGTTTATCAAAGCCCATGTTGTCACCGAAATGCCAGTGATGAGATACCAAGACAGATATATGTGTCACCAACTCTTCTCCCCTTGACTCCTCTCAACCCTTGCTCTGCCAAATATCATTAAATGAAAGTCTTGCTGAGAAACAGTCACAACAATGCTCCACAAACATTTCTCTCAGTCAACTAAGTGCTTCCTCCAACAATACCTACAGATGAGAAGTCTGCTTTTGCCAATTCTTTCCTGGGGCAAAGCTAATTACCTTTATATTATCCCAGAAGGCAGTTTTCCCTTTCTAGAACATGTCAATCTATTTGAACATTAGCAACAGCTTTAAGCATCATAGGTTACATATCAAGAAATAACAGACACTTTTTTCAGATTAAACATAGAATACACCAATTTGGGCTTTTCTAAAAAAAAAGGACATGAGGGACTTCACTCTTTTCTTCCTCTTGATATTAAATATTATTTCAGTGTTCAGTCAAAATAGCCTAAAATATGATCATGGACACCTGTGTAAATAAGCAGTTCTTGATACAAGTTTCACCAAAGCACATCTATTCTTCATAAAACTGGTCAAACAGGTTTTGTTTTTTATCTCTGCTGTTATTTAATTTCCATATAAATCATGGAAAGTTGTAGATTGTAAACGGAAGTTAAACCACTAGTGGTTTAATAGGCCTTACCTCTATCACTGAAGTCATCCACAAGAATTATTTCAGCTATCAAGCTGTCTGGAGTCCGGTTGATAATGCTGTGTATAGTTCGCAAAAGTGAAGTCCAACCTTCATTATGAAATGGGATAATTATGCTAGTATTTGGCAGCTTTTCCAAGTACACCTTGTGCTTACAGCTGAGGAGAAAGAAGCAATGAAAGAAAATTTAAGAACCCAAAAGGAAAAACTGCTTTATACAACCTATAGATCAAATTTGTACAATATAAATTACCCTGGGATCCATAGAAGACAGATATGCACCTCCCCAAGCAGCACTTACAGTTCCTCATGACTACATGACTTGCCTTAATCAAATCACCCTAAGATAACCTACAGACAAACACCAGTGCAGAGCTCTACACATCCTGTCCATTCTCTCTCTTTAGCAGCTTGCCCACCACTTTCATCTGTCCAGGCCCTGAACTATATTTAATTTACTTTAACTGATGGATAACTACTAGGTCATTGTTTATTAACTGTGCAATAATGAGAATTTTAATAAGTATGACATAGTTTGAAAAAAAGAAAATAAATGGAAGTACAATGGTGAATCTGTACAAAAGGTACAGAATTAGGCTCTTGCATCTGCACAACCTCATTCCATGGCAGAAGATAATTAAGTGAAGTTAAACCCAACTGATGGTCAACTGGATCTTATTTTACCGGCTGGAATATAATAGCATATGCAAGACAACTCCAGTTCTAAATCTAAAATATTCAGTATCAACTTCTATCATTACACTTATAAAATGTTACCACAATCAACTCTCTTCAGATGCAAATCAATGTTAGCAAGAATATACAAATAATTCTTATATGTAAATGAAGAGGCAGAAAGTTGTTTTATGAAGTACTAATTAACAAACTGCATTTACAATACCAAATATTTAAAAGCTTATCAGTCCATAACAGAACCCCTCAATTCTATAACAAAAACATTGTATCAGCAATGGATAGTTAAAAAGAGGGGAAGGGAGGTGGTAAACCATACTGGTCTGGAGTCTGGCAGAAGGCAGGACAGGGTCGCACTTTAGGGCACTTTTACATGTGTTCCGGGGGGGGGGGGGGGGGGGTGTGCTTTAATAAAAGGAGCTCCACTGTAATTAAAGCACCACGGCTTCTCATTCAACAAACTTAGGTAACGCGCCTCCACAGTCATTTTGAAATGCAGAGACACTGATACACGAGATGCCGAGGCTGGCTGGAGCATAGTAATTACCATGCTCCAACAGACTCGATTAATTGAGCCTGCTGATGTGCTGTAATTAGAGCATGTCAGAGCAGCCTCACAAGATGTATACAGGCACCCTTAGATGCTAACCAGTTCACAGGCACAAGCAACTTACTATAAGTTGTCAGCATCTGACAAAGTAACAATGCATTTTGTCAGATGCTATGGGTACATATAGGTGTTACATTGAGGTGGACCTAAACAGGTTTGCAGGTGTTCACAGGGCTTAAATTGCTGAAAAAAAAGCATGCTTGAAATCTAAGTTAGTTTACCTAGAGGAGGTGAACTAACTAACTTTAGATTGACCTGGGTCACCCTGATCTAAAATGAGTTAATTCATTCTAGGGAACACCTGTACACGTTCATAGCACAGTCTGTTGTCCACACAGGGCATACAGTATGAATTAAAAACAAGCAGGGATCTTATCAGGGGATACGGCACAATGCTGCATTTATTGGAACATAAAAAATGAAAAGAATAAAGAACAGTAAGGGTATCTGCTTCACTCATTCCCATGCACATTCATTCATACAAAAGAAACAAGCACGCGCGCACACACACACACACACACACAGATAGCTAGACAGTCCTGCAAAGGTTAAGGTGTTACCAAGTTCTAAGTAACTCGGGTCAGTCTGCTGGCCGGCTATACTGACGACAAGGGATGGAGTCAGGTCTTGTTGGACCCATCCAAAACTCCTTCTTGAAGGTGGAAAGACCCAAAACCTTTTCTTTGTGTTCATTCTTTCTAATGATAGCTGTCCGTACAAGCCTATGGATTCCGCTGAATCAGACTTGAAGGCCATCCTCCTTGTCCTGTTGGCAGGCTGGGATTGGTAGGACATGATCTTCCGGATTTGCGGTCTGCAATCTTCGGGGGGTAGTGAGTGGTCATTGTTTGCAGTCTTCAGAATGAAGCATCATCTAGCATTTGATAATCTTTAACTGCTGACTCAACGTTGCTGCAACCTTTAACTGTTAAACCACAGAAGGCTATTTTCACCTGCTGCAAGAGGACAGTCTTCTTTTACACTGTCACATACATACATCATTCAGTCATTCATTACCTCTTTCTACATATGCCAGACATACCACAGACCTTACATAAGCATTTTCCTTAACTAAATTTAAGTTCTAAAATCATGAGACCAATAGGTCAAATATATTTATGCTAAGCAATAGGAAATTTAAAACAGATGTTTAATTCCAGAACACTAATAATAACTGATTAAAATACTATAAAAAGTAAATCTTAACAAGATTAACTTTATCTTAATGGCTAAATAATTTATTATATAAAAAGAAAAATAACAATTTAAGCAATCAAAGCAATTATAGCTACTGCAATACAATGAGTCATAGTTTCATAGTTTCTAGGGTCGG